TGCCAGCACCCCACAATAAAAATGCCAAATATACTACGGTATACAGCATTACTATTATACCACCTAACCAGCATCCACCCCCCTAGTCCCAGCTGTCCCACATTTGCCTCCTTGAAATCAATATACCTCAGATGTTATGGAGTGATATGGTATGGCATGGTATGGTATAGCATGGTATGGTAAAGACTATAGTAAATTGATATTTAATGTTATTGGCAGTTAGGGTGAGTGAGACAGACTGACCGTTTTGAAGTCCCTGAAGGGGACAAACTGCACAATGTCCCGCAGCACAGGCTCCCCCTTGGGTGACCTCAGGACTCCGTCATCACCGTCCAGGATCTGCATGTCCGTGAAGTCGGCGTTCCCCACCCCCACGATGATGATGGACAGGGGCTGGTAGGAGGCGCGCACGATGGCCTCGCGAGTGTCTGCCATGTCGGTCACCACGCCGTCTGTCAGGATCAGCAGGATGTGGTAGCGCTGGTTGGCAGAGGGAGTGGGGGGGGGGGCAGGAGGGGTGAGTCATTGTTGTCTCAGAGCGTTCTTTTGCATTGAACTTTCCTTCCAGTGTTCAGACTGCTGTTAAGAAACCTTATTGGAACACATGCCAAGGGACCCTCCAGTGGCGGAACCTGACACTATATGCCCAGGCTTGTGGCCACATAGTAAAATGTGGCCCTTTTGCTCTCCATGAAACACATGACATACAGTGTATATGTGAGTGAGAGTAAGTTTGGGTGCCACAGCAGTGGGTCAGCTGCCTTGCGGCACCCCTACAGCGGTGGAAGGTTCCCAAGGCCCCACAGACATGTGACTATTCTGCCGAGGCCAGGGCTTGAACCAGCAACCTTCCCATCTCAGACACAGAGGCTTAGCCCACTGGACCCTCGAAGCTGCTTCTGATCACGCACGCAGCCAGGTGAAAAAGTTAAGAGTTGGAACCCCCGCACCGCCCCTCCTTCATTTTCCTTCAGCCCCCTGATCAGCAAAATCTACTGGCATGGGGGGTGTGGGGGGCAAATTCAGCTAAATCTAACCCTAACCACTTTTCCGGAACAGGTGAGCATGGAGTCTATCCCAGGAATCTCAGGGTATAAGACAGGGAATTCCTTGAATTGGATGCCGGAGCACGAACTGACGCACATGATTAGATATTGAGAGAAATATCAGTTCACCCACCTGGTCTGTGAAACTGGGATACCCAGAGGAAGGGAGACATGCTTCACACACACAACCTCAGAGATGTAAGGCTACAGTACTAAGCAGTAATCCTCTGCGCTATGCTATGCTAGCGTACAGCACTACCAATAACACCACTCTGAATCTGTTCATTTCAGCTAGAAGTCTCCCTGTAGATAATCAGCTCACACATACCAATTAGGCTTCCACTACACTACATTTTTTACGCACAAGTCATGCGAAGAAGTCTTGCTCATTGATCACTTGAAACGTTGTACTGTGACTTGATATGATAGGATGGAGGAGGTAACAGCGGATACATTATTAATGAAGGTGACCCCAAGGGCACAGTAGTGGAGTGGGCAGTCTGCTAATTTCCCCCAAACCCCAGCTGTAATGAATTGCAGCCAAGAGTGGCTGTTGAACACAAGAACCAGCTGCACAAAGTTCACCTCTCAGATGAATTTTCAGCGTAGCTGAGCAGCCCTGCTTCCCGTTTAAAGGCTAAAGAGCTTACATTAACAGCCAGAAAACATTTGAAGAACACAACATTAGATACACCTCTAAATTTAGACTAAATGGGGATCTAAGACAGCTTTCTTTTGATATTTTAACTTCCCCAAGATATCAAAACGAAAAGAAATTAGAATGAACACAGCTCCTGTCCTTCACCGGAGATCTTTGCAGGTGCGTAAGGCAGATGGGACTCACTGATGCATCCTTGGTTGTCTCCTCCCTTGCCGCCACCTTGGCTAGCCGACTGATGATGGGGGCCACGTTGGTGGGGCCGTAGAGCTGGATCTTGGGGAGGCAGGTCTGGTATGCCTCCACGACACCCTGGATCTCTGGCCAGTGAGAAACAAAGGAGCATTTAGCATCCCAGCAGAAGCCAATGCATGATAACGTTCTCGCAAGTGGCATCCAAGAGCCTTTTGGTACAGCTGCTTTACGCCATGAATGAAACTGGATAACATCGCTTTGCTGCATCATTTTGACCACTGGAACTCTGGCAGGACTAGTTAATGGAGGCGATGTACTGGTTAAGGGTAATGTACAGCAGAGCTTGAGCAAACAGTATCATACCCTCACATTCGTCGTCATCCGGGTTGAAGTTGATGGCAAAGTCGTGAGAAACCTGGGCATAAAAAGGAGAAGCAGGGTCAGGCTGCGGTGACCCACCCCATGGCAGATCTGCCCATCTGGTATTCTTTGGGTGAGCCTATGGGTATGCAAGCCAGCAGTATTTTTCATGGGGGATCCCAATGCCCAGGGTCAGTTTTTAATCCCAGTACATCCCTTGCCCATGTCTGCTGCGGGGAGAACTCAAGCAAGCTGAATGACCAAGCATCTTTCCCATAATGCAATGCGATCCACACAGCCATAACTGGGCAAATTTAGCACAAACTGAAGCTAGCTTTCATCATTTTGACCTGCGTCTATAGTGCCAGTACTGAAGTCTCTGGTTATGAACCGCCATTACTGAATTTGGGCAAAATAATAATACTACAATAATCCAGCAAGCCTCCTCTAGGGCGCATTAGGGCCTGTTTGGGGACCACAAGCAGAAAAAATTCACCACCAATAAATCCTTCATGTTTGCAGAATACATAAAATATACAAGCTGCAACAAGGATAAAGGTGTAACCCGTAATGCCAAGTACAATTCGAGCAACCAGGCAATGCTGCCAGTCACAGTATATAAGAAGATGCCCAAAGTCTTCCTGGGTGCAGTTTAGTTATAAGGTAAATGCCCGCAGTTATACACTGAGCCGTATTTAACCCATTAAGCCAAATAACTGCAGTTCCTTTGAAACGGTTTACATGTGCAGCCGTATTTTAATATTTAACGATCAAGGGAGACAGGCGTCCTGTTATTTCCACGCTAGTTTTGAGGAGCGAGCAGCTGCACTATATTTATGGATTATATACATAGCATAGCACATCAGAGCTTTCACAACATTGTGAAATGTTAAGCAGCAGAATTGGGAACAAAATGCTCAGGAAGTTTGCCTATGGACTGCAAATCCACCTAAGAACAAATGTAGATTTGCTAAAATCAATGGACAGTATGCCCTGGTACGGGGTTATTCTGACGTGTGACTTGACCTAAAAGTGTTCCAGCTAGACAGTGAGCAGGGCTTTTGGGAAATAAGGGTCAGACGATCAGATGTCGGCATGAAGGGCTGCAAAGTTAACCAAAATGCAGAAATGCTGCACATTTTTTTATTTTTGGAATAGTGGATTGCAGTCAGCGAGGGCACAATGCCAAGATCACCCAGGACAGGATACCAGTCCACTGCAAGGCAAACACGCCCACACACACACACACACACACACACGCACACGTGCACACACCCACAGTCCACTAATTCTTATCTTTATGGGGACTCTCCATTCATTTGTATGGGCAGAACCGTAACTATGACAACCATAACCCCTACCTTAACTACTAGTTTTTTTTATTGCATTCACAGATTTTTTAAAAACTGAGGCTATTTTTGTGGGGACTGGAAAAAACGTCCCCACAAGGTAAAAAAAATTATTATTTTTTTTTTTTCACAAGGTGGGGAAATCTGGTCTCCACAATGTAATAATAATTACAAAAACGTGCACACACACATACAAACTTTACAAATATCTTTGTAAGGACCATCCATTCATTTCTATGGGCAAAACCCTAATTGTAACAATGGCAGCCTTAATCCCTACCCAGCCCTAACCTTAACAACAAGTAACCAAACAAAATACAAGTCTTTTGGCATTTTTAGTTTTTGATTGCAGTCACAGATTTTTATAAAAATTGAATTTCCTCATGTGGGGACTGAAAAAATGGTTCCCACAACATTAAAATAAGTTTTTATCAAATTGTGGGGACCAAATGTCCCCACAATGTAATATAAACCTAATTGACAAACACAAACCAAGTCACACAAAGTCTGGTCCTTGTCCTCTGACCTTGTTTTCAGCCCCAGAGACCTTTTTATCCATCACATCATTATCTGTAGATACTGTATCCATGAAAATCCCTGGGGGGGGTGGCAGTTTCTTCTGACATTCTAGCCACGTATGACACCAGCGTTCAAAATGACTTAAATCAGGCATCAACCACTGTAATGCTTAGATGAACGGTAAACAAACCTCTTAATCCTGTCTTTATGTATTCAGTTGCAGCCATTTTGCATGCATTACCAAAAAGGAAAACCTAATAATGTAATCATTATACAGTGGTACCTCAGTTCTCGAACTCATTAGAACTCGAATTTCTTAAAAGTCGAACCAACCAGTTCGAAAAAAAATTACCTACTGTAGAACTCGATCTGAATCTCAGAAGTCAAACCGTGAACGCAGACCTAAGATAACTTGTACACGCGGGGAAATGAGTCATGCGGCATGTCTCTTGGCGGAAACATAGGGCAACGCTTCAGTCTCAGCCTCGCATTCGCTGTGATAGCATCGTACATGTTTACACTAGCTGAATACATATATTTAACAGTAAAAATACATTTAGACAATGATAGACAGTAACAGTAATTATTATTATACAATAAAATACATTTTAAAATAAAGATTTCTTATTAACTATTTTAATATCAATAATAAACCATTAATACATTTAATTATAATAATATTGTCCTGCCGAGCGGGACGGAATGGAGACAAAGACACAGACGTCAGGGTATCGGGGAATACGGGGTTTAATTACAGGTAAGGCAGGCAAAACGCAGACGGACAATACAATGACGGGACTGGGGAAACAAACTGAAACGCAGACGAAATACAGAGGACTAACGACAACAACCAGAAACAGCTGATCACATGGGGATTCAACACGGGGTTAACGAGGGGGCGTGACACACGGAAGGAGCGGACGATCGGGGCATGACATTGTTTTTTTTAATTTTACACATTGTTTGGATACATTTATTTTCTTACTTTACAAATTACTGTTTTGATAAGTGTGCTTAGATGTGTTTAGTACAGTATATGCTCTTCTTGTTTTATCCGGTTCATTTTGTGTTAAAATGCAAAAAAAAAAAAAAAAAACATATTTAGATGTATTTTTTTGGGGCCGGGAACCAATTAATTGGTTTTCCATTATTTCTTATGGGGAAAATTCGATCACAACTCAAACTTTTTAAGATTCGATCCGGAGTTCTGAATGGATTAAATTCGAGTTCTGAGGTACCACTGTATATGACTACATTATATACATATTCTTGTCAGTATCCTACTGACATTTTAGTCTAGACAAAGCTAGACAATACTAACATTCAAATCCATGACTAGGACTATAGTAAGTATTGTTTCTTCTAGACAGGAAGACAAAAGTAGTTTGACAACCTCTCAAGCAAAATTGCAGTGAGTAGTTCTGAGAATATGAGAAATGAATGGATGAAATTGTAGGCTGGAGGTTAACAATTAGTCAATCACTATATACAGGTACGGTCATTAAAATCAGAAGCAACGCGCAAACATTAGGGTCCGTGTCACAGGGATGGAAATACCTTCCTAACAGAGATGGTGAAAAAAAGTGAAGCAGTGCATTAACCATGTAGCTCAAGTCTGAAATACTGTATCAATCTCTGAGATTAATTGCTTACCTCATAATTTGGGGGAATTCTTGCACCAAATCCTAGGGCAGAAAATCTTTTGTCACTGGAGGAAAAAGGAAAGAAAGTTCACATTTTCCTCGCAGGTATATTTGGCACATTTTATATAGCAGTTTTATCTCAGACATAGAACTGTCTGGCAATCAGAACCAAGACACTATATTCTGATGGAGAGAGAGGAACCATAGAGCGAGACAGAAATTCAGAATTAGGAGAGAGGGAACGGCGAGAGCATATGGGGAAAGATATAGTTATGCAAAAAGAAAAAAGATAATGGAGTCACAGTAAGACAAAGATGTAAAGGAGCTACACGAATGCAGAAAGAATGAAATGATTCCCTGTGGAATGTAGTGAATAAAATACAAAGGAGTAATACAGTAATGCAGAGGGAAAGGGGAGAAGACCGAGGGACAATCACAAAAAAAAAAAAAACAGACGAATGGCCAACAACTCGTCAAACCTTGAGGGACCCAAAGGGGAGAGAGACAGATCAGATCACACAACCGTCACATGACCATTAGGTGCCAAGCAAGGTGCCCGATCAGAAGTGAGGAAAACGAATAAACTTTCCCCAGAAAGCCAGATCTGCCCTGGCAGGGCTCCTAAGAGTTAGAGAGAACATTCTGGGGTGAAAATGCTTTCGGTTCCCTCAGTGCATCACATTAGACCACTACACAGTCATCTGTGTCTTTGCCCAACATCTTTAGGCTGTACAGTACTGCAAAAGCATTCATGCACCAAGTCACGATGGGATTTAAATTAAATTCTCAATGAATAAAAGAAACCTGGAAGCTTAACAGGAGCCCAAGATAGCAACCAGAACTCATAGGTTAGCTCATGGAAGAGTAGAGATTATGAACCTCTGGCTTAGGAGCGGCTGATGAATCTACTAGTGAGATACTGCTTTCATACCTTGTATTCCCTCCCACACCCCACCCCCCATTCCTGGATCCTGAGCAGTCGTGCAGGATCTCCCGCTTCACCAAACATCAGCGCCCCGTCTCCCCATCGCCCCGTCTCCCTGTCACCCCGGCCCCCCCGCACCGTCTCCCCGTCTCCCGCTTCACCGCCCCATCTCCCCGTCGCCTCGATTCCCGCTTCACCACCCCGACTCCCTGTTGCCCCGTCGCCCCGTCTCCCCGTCACCCCGTCTCTCGCTTCACCGCCCGTCTCCCCGTCTCCCGCTTCACCGCCCCATCTCCCCGTCTCCAGCTTCACCGGCCCGTCTCCCCATCACCCCGTCTCCCCATCGCCCCGTCTCCCTGGCCCCCCCGCACCGTCTCCCCGTCTCCCGCTTCACCGCCCCATCTCCCCGTCGCCTCGATTCCC